ATTGATGAACTTTCTTGGTCCCTTGTTGGTGACCTGGGAGGCCAGATCTTCGAAAATAAGCGCTGCAGTAGGATGGCTTGACCATGCATTCCAATTGACGGGCAACTCTTTCAGGATTGGCTACCTACCCCTCGGAGGCGGGCATTTATGAAGTTTAAAGACCAAATTAAGATTGATTTTGCCAGCTCTCCAGTTGGTGGTGCGGCATGCACCTTGTGTAGAGACTGCCAGCTCAATGGCTGTAGCCTATTTATAGCAAATCAGGAGGTCCTTCTCAACTGGAAGTTTCATGCACCAAAGTAGGTGCTACTCCAATTCAGAAAGGTTACGCCCGCAGCACAACAGATTCTCCTGGAGGAATAAAAGCAAAGAGAGAAATTGCTGGTGAAACTCAATAGGTCTGGCAGCATCTGTGGAAAGAAAGCACAGTTAATATTTCAAGACTAGTTACCCTTCAGAACTACCATGGGGCAGCATGGTGGCTCAGTGGTTAGCACTACTGCCTCACAGCGCCAGGGACCCCAGTTCGATTCCACCCTCAAGTGACTGCCTGTGTGGAGTTTGCACATTCTCCCCGTGTCTGCATGGGTTTCCTTCGGGTGCTCCGGTTTCCTCCCACAGTCCAAAGATGTGCATATTAATCAAATTGGCCATGCTAAATTGCCCATAGTGTCCGGGATGTGCAGGCCAGGTGGGTTAGCCACGGAGATACAGGGTTACATGGATAAGCTAGGAAGGTGGGCCTGGGTAGGATGCTCTTCAGAGACTCGGTGTGGACCCAATGGGCTCAAAGAGCTGCTTCCACACTGCAAAAATTCTATGAATTTAAAAGGTTTTATCACAGTTCAAAACCTTTAGCCAATTTTTAGGCAAGTACCAGACCCTTTTTTGGCTGCATCAACAGGTAATCTAATCCCCATTTAATTTCTCCGAAATTCATCAACAAGTGGAATGTTTCTGGGATAGTAGGAACTGCAGATGCTGGAGAATCTGAGACAACAAGGTGCAGAGCTGGATGAACACAGCAGGCCAAGCAGCATCATAGGAGCAGAAAGGCTGACATTTCGGGCCTAGACCCTTCATCAGAAATGGGGGAGGGGAAGGGGGTTCTGAAATAAATAGGGAGAGAGTGGGAGGCGGATAGAAGATGGATAGAGGAGAGGACACGTGGAGAGGAAACAAACAGGTTGAAGAGGCGGGGATGGAGCCAGTAAAGGTGAGTGTAGGTGTGGAGTTAGGGAGGGGATAGGTCAGTCCAGGGAGGACGGACAGGTCAAGGGGGCGGGATGAGGTTAGTAGGTAGGAGATGGGGGTGCGGCTTGAGGTGGGAGGAGGGGATAGGTGGGAGGAAGAACAGGTTAGGGAGGTGGGGACGAGCTGGACTGGTTTTGGGATGCGGTAGGGGGAGGGGAGATTTTGAAGCTGGTGAAATCCACATTGATACCATTGGGCTGCAGGGTTCCCAAGCGGAATATGAGTTGCTGTTCCTGCAACCTTCGGGTGGCATCGTTGTGGCACTGCAGAAGGCCCAGGATGGACATGTCGTCTGAGGAATGGGAGGAGGAGTTGAAATGGTTCGCGACTGGGAGGTGCAGTTGTTTATTGCGAACCGAGCGAAGGTGTTCTGCAAAGCGGTCCCCGAGCCTCCGCTTGGTTTCCCCGATGTAGAGGAGGCCACAACGGGTACAGCGGATGCAGTATACCACATTGGCAGATGTGCAGGTGAACATCTGCTTGATGTGGAAAGTCTTCTTGGGGCCTGGGATGGGGGTGAGGGAGGAGGTATGGGGTTAGGTGTAGCACTTCCTGCGGTAGCAGGGTAAAGTGCCGGGTGTGGTGGGGCTGGAGGGGAGTTTGGAGCGGATAAGGGAGTCACGGAGAGAGTGGTCCCTCCGGAAAGCAGATAAAGGTGGGGAGGGAAAGATATCTTTGGTGGTGGGGTCGGATTGCAGATGGCGGAAGTGTCGGAGGATGATGCGTTGGATCCAGAGGTTGGTGGGGTGGTATGTGAGGACGAGGGGGATTCTTTTCTGGGATATGCTTTTAGGAGTTTAATTTAAAGACAAGTTCAAATCTACGGAGACTGAAATGGCTGAATTCAAAGTTCACAAAACTCAAGAAAGGAAAAGGGAACTGTTTACTATATCGATTCATTTCTGTCCATCTTCTCCTTGGTTCCTGGCTTCTAATCTAACTCCAACACTTAATAATAGACCAAAGAATAGATAAAACCTTCAGAGAGCTGTATATGTATGTATATACACACATGAATGCACTTAAAATTAGCAAGAGTGTTTTAACCATGATTTATGCATTGAACTAAATGCCTAGTTTGTCTCCTTATACAACATGAACAGTAGAAAGATCTCTTACTGTCTGTAGCAAATTTGTGGATGTGGCATTTTTGTTTTGTTTGTTTTTAAGAAGACTTCTGGATCCAATCAGTACAACACAAATGAAAATGTAACATTTTTCATTTCCAAGGCATGACTTTTAAAGTGCCTTGGCCTTAAAAGGAAATTCAAATGCAGCTAACAATCGCAAGGTCAGGGCCAAAATAAAAGTTTGCAGTGTTCTTTGTACAACAGTGAGTCTGTGCCATTTGCTAGAAAATTGTTTTAAAGTTGCTTCACGACAACCTAATAAACTTTATCCAATTTGCTCCTTTCCAACACATTCTACCATGAATTTGAAATGAATGGGAACAGAAGAGAGCAGTGAAAAAGCTGAATCCCACCTGTTCAGGACAAAATGAAGTTTAAAACTCCAATACGGTACTAACAGACTGCCACTGTTGAAAGTGCTGTCATTTAAATGAGACTTAAATTGAGATCCTGTCAGCTTGCATGACACTAAATCAAAGGACAGCAGCTGAGTTATCCCTCATGTCCTAACCACTACTTACCTCTCAATATCATAAAAAGCAGATGACTTGTTTGTTATCACTGCTGTTTTTTGTGCATGATTGGGCTACCCCTATTCCTACATTTCAAAAGTATTTAAGTAATTGTAAAGAGGCTCGAGACATCCAGTCGTCATGAAAAGTGTGAAATAAATTTCTTACATTCTTATCTCTCATAGATTCACATTATATTGGCATTGCTTCATTTGGAAAACTAAGTGTTCCTTGTACTGTTACATTCTGTCACAGACGAAATGACTTGTGGGCCTTTTAATTAAATTGCACCAGTAAGCATCATCTGGAAAATAAATTAAATGGAATCCAATATAAGAATGTAGTGCACATGCTGGGGGTTATAGAACTGTCAGTAAATCTCAGAAGAAGAACAATGTGCTCCAACGTACTCTTTGCTACCAGCCCTTATTCCAAACTATTAACTAATCAAGTAACTTTCCATAAATTTGTCGGTTGGCAGACCCCAAGTTAAGTTGTACTTCAGGAGGTCTGATTTAAATTAGCTGGTCAGAAAGAAAATGAGATGCTCAGGGTTTTATTATTTCCTTTTGATCAGAAATAACGCCTCCGAATGGTAAAGAGTTAAAAAGGGAAGCCATTCCTAACTAAATACCTGTCTCGTAGCATTAGTCTATGTTGCTGGGAAGAGATCAATTATCATTCTATTCCTTCAACATTCATTTTTCAAATGAATTTTGGTCTGGAAAATTCAAGAGACATAAGATCATAAAATTTACTCTTCACTGAGAGACACTGCATCCAATTGAAATCCATTAGAATTCAATGCTTTTTAGACTCGAGGAATTTTTAAAACCCTATGGAGTGAACTGCACCATTGCACAAGTTAAACAAACAAGCTGGCTGTGGTAAAATGTAACAAGTTGAAAATAAAAAGTAATAAGCATTAAGTTGCACTGAATATTAATCACTTTAAAACCATCTACATCACTTCACATCAGGAAATAATTTTGTTCTGAGAAGTATTAGGCCTTGTCACTCAGAATAATCACTTTGGCATAAGAGTCAAATAACAATTCCTGTTCATTTTTCACTTCTTGACTGAGTGCACTAATCCTTAAAAGACTCTTTTCCCGACTGTTTTCCATTTGCGGCTCATGAATTTGATCAGTTTTGAGTTCCTGCTTGGTGAGATTTAGAAAATTAGAGGCTGGCACGTAGAGCCATAATCCAAGCCTTAGCCTTGAAGTTCTAGGGCTTTTAATTGTTGATAAAATGAACCACATAAAGACTGGGTCAGCATTCAAGGAAGTACCAATTTAGCCTTCAGAAAATACGCTATCTACTTTCCACAGCTCCTAATATTTTCTTGATTCGGATAATGTGCATCTCCAATTAATAAACTAAAACCTTAGTGATCAACTACACCTCGATTCAGGACAGTTTATGACAAATATGATAGATTATGCATGCAGGCAGATGTTTTGTACTTTGTCTTTAGTTACTTTATTATTTAGATTTGCCTTCCTCAGCATGTCTAGTTAGTGGGTAGTTAACTTATACAGGGCTTGTTGGTAGGGATTTCCTACTACTTTTAGTCATCCTAGACTGAAGGGCCAATGGCCAAGAAATGAGCTATGGTTCCAGTTCCAGATTATTCCGGTGATCTCTTGAAGCAAACATTAAGAGCAGGACTAACCTTGTTAAAGAGCATCAGCGAGGTTCAAACTTTAACAATGGCTTCTTGGGTGGGATTGGAGTGATCTCATGGAACTGTGTTATGGCCAGCAATCAGTGCTCTCAGGAGAGCCTGTGAGAAAGAGCTGCCAAGGAGAAAAACATCATTTGTGCTTTCTGGACTTGTGAACACTAACGAGCTCTAGGAATGCGGTTTAGGCCAGCTCAAAGGTGCATTGTTTTACATAGGAAAGAGCATTAGTGCACATGGCCCTGCACAAAGATCATAGGTATGCAACTAAATGACAACATGAGGACAGTGTCAGAGACAAGTTCACTCCAACTGAGTGTCTTTCTCTGGTGACCCCAATTTCAATGCCGCATCACCTTACTCCATAAGATGGAAATCGTCATGAACAATGCTGAACTTCCCCTTTCTACAACTTACACTTGCTCGGCCACTTGCAGCCAGTGTTCTTCAGATTAGTGGACTTGTGGAACACAAGCAACAAAGCAATCCAACAGTTTGTCGCTGAATCAACCACAGAGGCCCCTGCCTCCAATCTCCCTCACATAGGGTACCTGCTCCACAAGTGAGAGATAAGGGTCAACCTGAAATGCAGAACAATATCATATTATTGAATGCATCACATCACATCAACCTGCCAGTAGGAAGCAGCAGCCTCTCTTTTTCTCCACTTGGCACTGGAGGAGGTCATCAACTGGATAACCAAACTAGATATCCCATTATAGGCAATCCCAATCATGCAAAAGTACTATGCATAGAGTGCAATGAGGTTTACTTGAGACCATCCTTTTGAGCCCATCAATAGAATTATTACATAATTTCAGAAATGCACAATATATTTTAATATATGTTAGATAGACGGATCATTTAAAACTGCATTTCTTTTCTTTTATAAAAAAGAGAATTTTTTTCTCATACTAAATGAAATGAGGCAATGCAGCCTAAAATATCTTTTTTGAACTTTACTGGAACTACTAAAGACCCACCATGACAGCAATAAGCATATCTGGTTCCATTTCCCCCACCTGATACATTATATAAGGAAAATAAAGCAGCACCCACTCCTGGCTGTTTTTTGGTACCACCACAACCCAGAGCCGAACAACCCCACCCCAATATACTTACTTTGCTTCTATCAATCAACTATCCCATAATACTTCACTCCATAATCACTAGCTACCCATCATCCACCTCCCCCTAGCCTGCTCCTCTGTCCCCTCTGATTCACTTACCTCACATATAGTAACCTTCAGCCCATGGGCTTTGAGGCTATGCCAGCTCCAATTATTAACAGAACAAAGTCCCCACATCTGGGATGCTTCAGGTTTTATCCCCCAAGCTTAAGGAATATACCTGTACGGTCAGAAATCTTTCATTATATTCAGCATAATGTTTTGCTGGTTAGAAGCATGCTGATATTCTGCATTCTTGATGGGACATTAGATAAAGAATTGGCTAAAGATGTACTTGTTTTGAAAAATCAGAAGGTATAATGAGAGCATCTTGTTTCCTTTATCAGGAATACGAGTATTGAGTTCTTTATGCCAGTATGACTGCTCACATGTTTGGCCTCAGCTTGCTGTAATATGTTACATATGTATTGGACAGTTTAGAAATGAATACAAATGTGTAAAAACTAGGGCCAAATGTTGAGAAACAGTTCTTACCATCAACTGTTTTAGCATTTGTTTTTGAGTAATACCACACACTGTGAGGTATAATCATAGTCAATGACCTGGAGTCAATGTGAACTTAATCCATGACTGTGACAGAAATCTGTCCAAACATAATGCTCATGGTTAATATGGCTGGAGGGGGAGATCTTTTAAAATAAGATAAAGTGTCAACATTTTACAAATTTGTCACTCTACTTTGAGTTGAACTGGTCAAAGGAAGTGATTTGACTTCATGTTTAAAATATTATTTTGTTTAATTCAAAGACTTTTACAAACATGCTGTTGTTTGATCACAATATCTAACTTCTCTGCAATGAAAACTCTTGGACCCATTCGATTTTCAACCACTAATACTTCTTTGGGTAGAGTTATTTTCCAGGATCAAACTTCTGAGCTTATAATATTGAATATCATCATGGATAATATGCCACTGGGTTCAATTTATCCCTCCCAGAGGTTCAGCTGTCCCACACATTTACATCATTAATCAAACTAACTAAAAATAGCCCCTTCAATTATTGTCCACATCTGGCCTCTTATGAAGAGGTGATAATGAACTGCCTGCTTAAACTATTGCGTTTCATCTATATTAGTACATCCACAGTGCTAAAAAGTAGACATCCTGTGATGCTGCAGTAACAGCCCTCCTGTTGGGTCAGAAGCTCCAGGTTCAAGTCCTAGGTGAGGACTTGTTGGTAATGAACAGTGTGTTCTTACTCTGGCCAAACAGGTTGCTTGTCTGTGAATCCTTTCAAGTGCCTGATAGCAGAAGATAATATCTGGTGCATCTCTTTTATCAGCCAGCCTGTAAGTGGTCATGGAAAATTGCTTCATAATCGCCCATAAGTGTAGAAAAAGTCAATGGGAGTCCAACCTTTAACAGATGGAGAGAAAAGACAGTCAGAGTGAATAGATAGGAGGTTCCAAGATGTGATTCAGTGCCATTGAAGGAAAGTGCTATATTTCCAAATGAGAATGGTATGTGATTTGAAGGGGAACTTGTAGATGCCAGATACTGCTGCCAGATACACACTGTCCTTATTCTTCAAGGCCAGGGGCTGTGAGATGTCAGGGTGTCACCTGATGAGCAATTGATATTCTGAGCTCCTTCTGCAAATGTGACAGCAATGGGACAGTCCTGCGATTGGCTTCAAAGCCCCTCAACAAGCAAATGCATAATATTTTTTCTTGCCTTGGGCTTGTAAGCATTGTCTTAATGAATTCATCTCCAAGGTCCAATCATTGCTCACAGGACAATATGCAACATGCTAGGTGAAAAGAACATCGCTGCCTCTCTCCCAACAGCTAGTCTCCACCCTTACATCTCTACCCCATCCTCTCTCTGACTTCCCCATACAGATTTACCACCATCCCCCACTTTCACTCCAAGGTCATAGCAATTTTCCAGCTTCAAAATAGGGTGGGAAAACATTTGGAGAACACAGTTGTGGTTGGCAGAGGTCATGGATTTAGAAGGTGCATCAGAATTACTGGTCCATGATTAGTATAAAATTATTGGCCTTGATGGCTTGGAAAAACTAAAATTGTGAAATGGAATATGTTGACAGCAGTCGGAACTGAATGTGTAGAGAGAACCAAAGGGTTAACATTTGGGCTTGGATTCTTAATCAGTTTTGCAAGTAATGAAAATCATAGAACCGGTAAAGTATCCTAAATTACTGTTTAATATTTTTCAGTTGATCAAAACTTTGCCCTGCTATAAATAAAATTGAACAGCCGGTGTTGGTTTTGAATTTGATGTTGTGTCTTATGCATTGCTATTGTCTGGCTCAACTGAGATTCATCTTAGCCTTGTTATGAGAAGATAATTGGAATGTGTTCTCAGTTAACTGTCAATGAGGCCATGTAACGTTTCCCCACTAATGTCATTTGAAACCAATCTAGTTGAAGTAATTTTGAATTAAGTGAGATTTCAAACACATCTTTACTGGAAGAAAAAGAAACTGGCTCCATAGCCAGAGAATCTGAGGCTATTGTAATGTAATACCAAGAACAGCAACATTTGGGTTGCCTTTGTCAACATATGGACTAGATTTGTGTGAAATAGATTCCTAATACTTTACAGAAAGATATACATTTTAAGAAAATGAAAATTATTCAAGTTTATTTTAAGCAAATGAATGCAAAAAGCTTACCTGAGATCCTGGACTCTTTCTTTTATGGCCAAAGTGCTAACCTTTCACCTGCTACACACATATCAGCTACTGTTTTATCTTCATTTACTTCTTCAGTTTTTATTCTAAAGACACAATATTTGTCTGCATATTTGAACACATTTTTCTATTTCCTCAAGACAGGAAACTTTGTACACAATAATTCATTCAATGACGTCTTACAGATAAATCAATGTGAGTGGAGACCTTTGATTCACATATTTTGAGGAAATCTTTAATTACAGCATTGCACGCAATAACCTAAATAACTAAAGAAGTCAATGACGTCATTATATAGTAAAGCTGTAAAATGGGACATTTGATACTTTCACATGAAAGTTAATGAAAATTGCATCGGATCTGATACCATTAGCAGGAACATACTTTCACCAGATTACAGACTGAGTGATCACTTTGCTGAAAACATTCTCTCATTCCAGATAGGTGAACCTCAGTTTCTTGTTCCTATTTTCATCCCACTCCCACTTTGATCTCTCTCTGTCCTCAGCCCCTTTCACACTGTTCCAATGAAGTTCAACGCAAACTCAAAGAACAGCTCCTTCACTTTCAATTAGGCATTTTATAAACTTTGAGTCTCACATGAATTTCAACAACTTTAGATCATAACCATTACTCCCATTATCTCAGTAGGTAATGGATCCATTGTTGCTATTTCCATCTCCCTTTTGGGCCATCCCATCGTACCTTGTTGTTCAATTGCTACTCCTATTTTCCTTTACAAGATTATTCCTTCTTTTTATTTGATCCTACTACCACTGCAACACAAATCTTCCCTTTTTATTTTCTATTTCTCCAGCCAATTTTCCCTGGCTCCACATTTCTCAATTCCCACGTGTATTCCTATAACATCCACCTCTACCTTACCATCACTTCTCTCGATCCTTCCCCCTTCTTCTAAATTGTCAGACTGCTTTCTCAACATCCAGAAATGGATGAGCAGCGATTTCCTTAAACTAAGTTTTGGGAAGAGCTAGAAAATCCATTCACTATCAACTCCAGGCTTCTCCGGGGCAAGTATCTGAGGCTACACTAGACTTTTCATGACCACATGAAAGTTAATGAAAATTGCATTAGATTTGATATCATTAGCAGGAATATACTTTTGCCAGATTATAGACTGAGGGATCACTTTGCTGAAAAGCTAAGGTGCTATTCTTTGAGCTTGCACTGGTCTTCATTGGAACATGTGGAAGGGGCTGAGGACAGGTATGGTGCCATATTTGACCCTCAGATGAGCTTTAAACCATATATCTGAGTCATCTTCTAGACCACCTATTTCTACCTCCGCAATGTCACCTGATTACAATTCAGTGTCAGCTCATTTGATGCTGAAATTTTCACCCATGTCTTTGTTACCTCTAATCTGGAGTATTCCAAAGCAAGCCTGGCTGGTTGCACACTCCATAGATTTGAAGCTATTGGAGACTCTGTTGCCTGTGTCCTATTTCATTCCAATCATTGTTCACTCATTATCCCTATGCTCCTTCACATACATTGGCTCCTGGTTAAACAATGCCTCAATTTTAAAATATTTGTCCTTGATTTGAAAACATTGTACAGCCTCACCCTGTGCTATCTCTGTAGTCACCTACAGCCAGTCAATTCTCTACGTTTCTCTGACATCGGTCTATTCTGCAAGCCCAATTTCAATTGCTCAAAAGTTAATGGCTATGCTTTCAATCACTGAGGCCCTGCAATCTAGATATTCCTCCACTTGTTTATTCACCTTCAAAATGATCCTTAATCCTATTACATTTGAGCAAGCACCTGGGATAAGATCTTGTTCCACTGTCAAAACGTGCTTTGTAATAATCCTCTGTGACATTTTGTTATGTAAAGATGCATAAATACATGTTGATGTTACTCTTTAAATACTGTTAAATCTCTAGACTTCTTTTCTCTACCCAAAGTTCATCAACCTGAAATGTTAATACTGCTTCTCTCTCTACATCTGCATCCTGACCTGCTCAGTGTTTCCAGAATTTTCTGATTTTGTTTTTAACTTAACACCTTTGATAATTGATCATTTCATAGACAATTCTTTATGCAAAATGATGATGACACACATGATGTCAGAACTTTTGATGACTGTAGCTGAAAACATCTGAGGCCTTCTCTGTGGTTCAAGATCATCAAATCTTGTCATAAACACGGAATCCAGACCAGGCCCAAACACAAAGCAATGGAATATGTCATATCAGCCTTCAGGGCCTCCAGAAACCATTCACTCTTATTCCGGAGAGAAAAATACTTAAATCAACATTCAAATTCTTTACTTCTGAAACATATTTTGACAGAATGTTGGTTGAATTTCATGTAACAACAATCCTGCAAGAACAAAATTAATCAAGATTCAGCATGAATGACAAATTATTTCTATTAATTCTGCCCATGAAATATCTTAGAAATAAATTTGATCGTTCTGCCCCTTTGTCAAATTGTGATGTCCTCAAAGCAACCATAAGACTATAAGGTATAGGAGCAGATGCAGGCTATTTGGTCCATCAAG